AGGACACCCCGGAGGCCAGGCCAGGTGGGAAGAGGGAGCTCTCCAGGGCCTTGCAGGTCCCGCACTCTTCCCCTGTCAGCCGGCCCCGGCTCTTGGGCTCTCTGCCTCTTCCCCTCCTGGCTGCCGGGGTGGGGGGCCGGGGCGAGGTTGTACCGCCCGGTGCTCCCCCAGGCCGCCGGGACGGGATGGGCCAAAGCCGTGCTGGGCCTGTTTCTCCCCCCGGCCGCTGGGGAGGCTCCGAGGCCACCTCGACTCTTCCCCTCACCAGAGGCCAAAGTCGCCCCCCTGCCCCTGCCTCTTTGCTCCCACCAGCTGCCGGGGATGGGGGGGGCCGAGGCCTGGCCTGCCCAGCTTTCCTCCTAATGCTGCCGCAGCCCTGCCCCTCGGAGCTCCAGGGAGACTGGGAAGGCTGCACTACTGCTGCCCGGCTGCCACCACCCCCGGCACCAGGGAGGCCGGGGCCCTCAGCGCAGGTAAGGGAGGAGGCGGGGTGGCCGACATCCCGCAGGAAAAACTTTTGTCTATAGAGAGAGGGTTTTTTTTTTTCATTCCATTTGGGCTAGTGGTTTCCTTGCCACCAAATTGCTAGAAATATAGGCCTGGCAAGGACTTTCTGGCCATGTAGTTCAGTCCCCTGCACTGAGGCAGTATTATCTAGACCACCCCCAAGAGGAGTTTGTCTGGCCTTTTCTTAAAAACGCCCAGTGATGGAGATCCAACCCCCCCTCCCTTCAGGAAATTGTTCAGGTGTTTAACTCCCTTGACTGGAAGTTTTTCTTACTGTGCCCTTTCCTGTTTATAACAATCTTTTGCATGCTTGTATCCTGTTCCTTCTTGGTGTTCCCTTTTCCATAATAAGCAAACCCTATTTTTCCCCCCCCAGTCTTTCCTCATAGGCTGTGTTTTCTAGACCATTTGCCACCTGTGTTGTCTCTGGATTCTCTCCAGTTGAGCCACATCTGGAAGTGGGCACGCTACCCCGTTTGAGGCTTTGAGTGCTGCTGAGTTACCTCTTGTGTCTGTCTTACAGCGCTCCCGTGAATACAGCCCAGAATGACGCTTGCTTTTTTTTTTTTTTTTTGCAACATTGTTGACTCATTGTAGACTGTGATCCTCTGTAATCCCCAGAGCCTCTCCTGCCCTGTTCCCTCCTCCCATTTTTGTATTTTGTGCTCTCCGTTATTCCTTCCTAAGTGGAGCGACTTTGTGTTTGTCATGATTGAATTGCGGCCTGTTTATTTCAGACCGCTTCTCCCCGGGACGTCCTTAAGATTTGTGGGGTGCTACCCAGAGCTTAAATCGGTGCCTCCAGGTCTGAGGACAGCCTGGAGGGGCGGGAGATCATGATTTTTTTAGAGCTGTGATTTTATAATCGTTAGCAACACAGTAATGAAATAGTTTTAAACGGGATTTTTAACAAGATCCTGTGACTAACACTGTAAATTCAGAAACGGACAGTAAACACCTAGGGTTGACAAATACCTGCTATGAAATGGTTTCATTACCACTTGAATGACTCTTTCACAGGTTCAGTGGCTGCTAATAGCTCTGGCAGGCTTTTTCCTTTTTAAGTTAGCTAGACCCTCCCTGGAGGAAGTAGAGTTGCAGAAAGGCGGGTGGGTGGACATTAAGAACCAGGGCTTGCCTCAAATTTTCGGGTGCCCTACGCAGCCCTGACTTCTCCAGTTTGTCAAGATAATTTTGGTCCAGTCCTCTAACATGTAGGGTTGCCAGGTGTCCGGTTTTCGTTCAGACAGTCCATTATTTTTGGCTGCTGAACGGTAAAAAAAAACCGGACATGCAATATACCTTTTCTTGGATGGAAGGCTGATGGGGACATCCCCTGCTTTGTTTTTTTTTTTTTTTTTGCTCAACAACTTTGGCTCCCTGTTTTTTTTGGTTTGTTTTTTGCTCTTTGGGGGGCTCAACTCATTTTTTTTCCGGGATTTTTTGTAAGATATCTGGCAACCCTACCAACATGCTTTCAACCCCTTCTACCTTAGGATTGTCCATACAATTTGTTAGTGCACTCCAGGGATGTGAATGATTAACCGCATAAACAAGAGAAGTCCTGTGGCACCTTATAGGCATCTGACGAAGTGGGTCTTTGCCCACGAAAGCTTAATGCTCCAATAAATCTTAGTCTATAAGGTGCCACAGGACTTCTCGTTGGTTATGCAGATTCAGACTAACACGACTACCCCTCTAATGATTAACCGGTAAGCATCACCTGGTAAGGTTAACAGTTGGGAGCTGGAGCAGCCCCCTGGGGCCCACTGTGGGTGGGGGCACTCCAGCCCAGCCAGAAAAAACTCCGTTGGGTGCACCCCAGTTAGGGGCGCTCCAGCCTGGCTGGAGGTGCACCCACCCATGGCGAGTGGGCTGGAGCAGCCCCCCCTGCTACCCCTCTTTAATGGGTTAAGCGGTTACACATAGGCTGCATCTAGACTGGCAAGTTTTTCTGCAAAAGCCATTGCTTTTGCATAAAAACTTGCCAGCTGTCTACACTGGCCGCTTGAATTTGCGCAGGAACACTGACGATCAAATGTAAGATTGTCAGTGTTCTTCCACAAATACTATGCTGCTCCCGTTCGGGGAAAAGCCCTCTTGCGCAAATGTATTTTTTGCCAGTGTAGACAGCTAAAAACTGTTTTGCGCAAAAAAGCCCCGATGGCGAAAATGGCGATCGGGGCTTTCTTGCGCAAAACCGCGTCTAGATTGGCACGGACGCTTTTCCACAAAAAGTGCTTTCGCGCAAAAGCACCTGTGCCAATCTAGACGCTCTTTTCCGCAAATGTTTTTAACGGGAAAAGCTTTTCTGTTAAAAGCATTTGCGGAAAATCATGCCAGTCTAGACGTAGCCATAATGTTTAACTGTGTAAGTAACTGAATGGGATTTTACATCCCTAGTGTACTCTGTGCCATTATCCAAATGATCTGTGAAGATACCAAATCGAATGGATCCGGGGTAGGTCCTTGTGGGACTCCTCTTGCTGTGCCCCTCCAGTCTGACTGTGAGCAAGTGATGTTTTCTTTCTGAGTATGGTTTTCCAGCTGGTAGTCCCCTGCTCCTCAATTGCAGATTCATATAGGCTCCCTACTTTCCTTGGGAGAAGGTCATGTGAGGCAGTATCAGAAGCCTTCCTAGAGTGGGGTTGCATCCTATCTACTTCTCCTAGCCTCAAGGATTGTTACCCTGTCCAAGAAGGGTATTAGCTTGGTTTGACATGATTTGTTCTTGACAAATCCATGTTGACTGCTACTTATCACCTTGATCTTCCCCGTGCTTACAAGCAGACTGCTTGGCGATATGCTCCATTCTCTTTTCTGGCCTTTGGAGTTGAGCTGAATTTGCCAGGTTTTGTCCTTATTCCTCTTTGATTGGCGAGGTGCTTTAATTGCCCTTTCACACTCCTCTGAAATCTTTCCTGTCCTCCATGAGTTTTCAAAGACAATCGCTAGTGGTTTGGAGATCTCGCCAAGGGTTGTAAGATCCAGCCACTAAGGTCATGTGGTCGGCTCTCCTGCCCAACACAGGCTGGAGACCCTCACTCAGTCGCTCCGTGCATGTGTTGATTGCCGAGAGAAACGAGCCAGGACGATAACGGTGTTTAACTGTCTCCTTCGCCAGGGTTCAGTCTCTCCTTGTTTTCATTAACGTGCGTCCTCACTTCGGACTCCGAACCAAAGCCTTTGCTGCCGGTGAATTGCTGGTGGGCCGCACAGCCGGCTCTGCCGCATCTCCCTGCCTCGAGGGTCGGTGGTCGCAAAATGGAAACCGTCACATGTAGAGCACACGGGACTTTGTGCAACCCGCCGCTCTCCACTGATGTGGAGCTCTGACCCCCCAGCTTGCAGGGCAGCCCTTCATCTCCCGATTGCTCAGGCTGTGTACTTGTAGCAAGGGGGACGGCAGACTTGTTTGGACCCTGGGCAAGATGGGGGGAAGGGGCGGGGCCTAGGGCGGAAGAGGCGGGGCTGAGAGAGCCTCTCCCGGGCAGCCCTCAGTGCTCTCTGGGACTCTGGCGGTGATTTAAAGGGCCAGGAGCTCCGGCAGCTGCCATTCCACGGTCGTGGTGGCTAGGAGCCCCAGGCCCTTTTAAATCAGTGGGCTCCAGGGAAATTGCCCCCTCCCCCTATCGATGGACCTGACTTGTAGCTTCTTGGTGTTGATGTCTCCCCCAAGCCCCCCACAGCAATTCTGGGCCCCAGGCACGTACCCGCTGCGCTCGCGTGGACACGGCCCGCCTGACACTGGGCGGTGCTGCTGGGCGCGCTCTTCTCGTGTGGGCAAGGCCTGCCCGGCTGCCTGTGCCACTGCCGGTACCACCCCGCACACGCTTAGGAGCCCGGCGGGTGATTTGAAAGGGGTTCCCGGACGCTGCTGCTGCTGCTGCTGCCACGGGTCCTTTTAAATTGCCCGAGCCCAGGTCAGCAGGCCTGGACTCCTGCTCTGTTTCTGGGGCGCCCAGCTGAGAGAACCCACCGGGTTTTAAAATCAGCAGGTCCTGGCCTCTTTTCAGGGCCCAAGCAGTTGAAGGTGCAACCCCCCGGTGGGGAGGGGGATTCTGAGGAGGAAGGGGATGAAAGCAAGCGAAGGAAAGTCTGGGCTACGTGTCAGGGAGAAGTGCTGCAGGAAGTGAGAGCTCTGTGACCCACAGCGGTTCCCCGGGGCTTTTCCCCCTTTAGCTCTGACTTCTGCCGGCTGAGGGGCTGGGGGACATTGGAAACAGCCCTGCCAGGCTCCCCACTTCCCCTTTTGCTGCCATCGCTGGGCGCGTCAATTCCCCACCCTCTCTCTGGCCGGCTTCCTGTTTCTTCCGGCCGGCAGGATTAGGGGTTGCCCCCACCTACGCCGAGTGGCAGCGGTGGAGCAGGGCAGCAACCCCCAAGCCACGGGGCGGCCACTTAGACCGTCTTAACGGAGGGGAAACGATCTCTGCCCGGGGGCAGAGAGGACCGGTTTGTGCTGCCCTTCTTCACAAGGGGCTGGTTCCGGTTGTTCAAACGGCGCCTTTGCAAAGTTCCAAAGGCAGCAGAGAACAACATGGCCGCTGCTCCTCGTAGGTGACCCACTCAGGATCTGCCCCTGCGCCCCCCCGTCCTCCTGTGGGGTTGGGGCAGCCCTGGCTCTGCTCTGAACACAGGGGCTCCCTGCACTGGGGGAATTCAGTGGGGATGCCCGCTGCCTGTCCTTGAGCCCCACCATGCCAGTCTTGCTGGCCTCCCAAGTGCCATAGCTCAGAGATGACTCGAGCTAATTGCGGCGGCTCGCCAGAGGGGGTCCCCCGCCTCCCTGCGTCTTGGCAGGGCACCCCGCGGAGAGGGTTGGGCTCCCTGGAAGATCCCCCAGCCCATCAGAGGTTCTCAACCTTCCTGCATGTTCCCGGGCTGTGCCAACCTGTGCCGCTCTCTCCTGGGCTGTGCGTTGCCCTGTGCCCTTTTCCACCTCCTGTGTGGCCCTGGGTGCGTCCACTTTGCACCACTGCAACTGTGTCCCTCCCCCGCCACCGCGAACCTCTGCTAGGCTCTAGCATGGCATAAACCAGGGGTGGGGAGCCTCAGGCCCAGCGGCCGCATCCGGCCCCCGGCTTGTCTGGATCCAGCCCCCGAGGCCCGTGGCATTGGGGAGCCCGTGCTGGTGCTCCAGCTCCCCCGCTGCTCCCCTGTGAGGCTGGAGCACACAAAATCTACTAGGCTGAGCCCCTCCTGGTTCTGGTGTGCGAGGGGAACGTGAGGGAAGGTCTTTCTGCTTCTCAATCAGGCACCATGTCAGGCAGGGCTTTTTGTGCGCGGCCCTCCCCTAATTGTGGGTCAGTGGCCCCCAAAGCAAGAAAAGTTCCCCACCCCCTGAATAAGTCTTGGGTTAATTGAAGCCCTTCCACACCAAAACCCGGAGCCATGGCTTTCCAGGGGGAGGTTTCCCAGGCTGCCAGCCCGCAGTGCCTTAGACAAGAAAAGGTTCTTGCAAGTGGCCAATAGCTCCTGCCTTGTTGTGTCAAAGAAACACCCTCAATGCTTGCATAGCAATAGCTGCCAGCTTGTCTGCTGCGGCGTTCACCCCCCATCCCAACCCTCTGGCTAATGGAGACACAGCTGGAGGTGCCCCTCCTCAGCCAGTCCAGGCAATCTTCATTACGGTGGAGAATTCCATGCTGGGCCCTGTTGGGTCTCTGCAGCACTGCTGGGGTAAAGGTGATCCTGGCTGCAAGCTGCCTTGCTTGGGTCTGCCGGTAGCTGCAAGGGGCGGAAGGGCTGTCGCGTTGCTGGGGATCCGTAAAAGCTGACAGCAGGGAGGGGCCAGCTGACTGCGAGGCGGTTGAAAGCCTTTGTGTTCTTCCTTGCTCAGACCGTTGGTCCCAGGAGGACATGCTGACCCTGCTGGAGTGCATGAAGGGCATCCTGCCCTCCAACGACGGCAGCAAATTCAAAACCACCGAGTCCCATCTGGACTGGGACAAAGTGGCCTTCAAGGACTTCTCTGCCGAGATGTGCAAGATGAAGTGGATGGAGATCTCAACCGAGGTAACCTCCCCGCGTTGGGCCGTCTCCTGAGGAGGGATGTTACATTTAGATTCATGGGCTAATAGAGTAGTCGTTGCAATTTGCATCGACTAGTCGACAAGGGCGCCTCAACAGCCCCAGGGTGAAAGCGCTGCCGGGAGCACAGGGCCAGCGGGGGACTCAAGCAGTGCCCCGTTGGCCCTGTGCTCCCCACGGCGTTTCGAGGCGGCTGTGCCGCATGGAGCCCGGGATCAGCAGGAGAGTGCCCAGCTGTCCCTAGGCTCCACACGGCACTGCCCCTTTGAAACACTGCGTGCAGCCCAGGGCCAGCTGGGGACTGCATGCAGCGTTTCCCTGGGCTCTACGTGGTGCTGCTGCTTTGAAGCATCCCCTCTTTTTCTCCCCTCTTTGCTGCCTCTTTCTCATAGAGGCAGGGGGGCGAGGAAGCGACGAGTCGACTAGTTCTTCACATCCCTACTCCTGAGGCTTGGTGGAGTAGTGCAGGAGGGTAGCCTAGTGGTCAGAGCAGGAGTATGGGACCCAGGGATGCCCGAGTTCCCTTTCTCGCCTACCTAAACAACCACAGTCTGATTAGCCAGCCACAAGACTTAGGTTTTCCAATCATTTGTTAACTTTCTCCCCTGCTCTGGCTCGACCAATAACTCACTGTGGGCTGCTCCCTTCCCCCACCCCTTGTCCCTATGTCCTCTGCACAGTGGAGATGATCCTGACCAGTGTTACCTCTAATCTTTGCCATCCTTGTGCAGAATAAATTTTTGTAATGTGCACCAAAGGATGTGCAAATGTGCACCACCAATAGAAACAAAGCCTAGCTGAGGGCGCTCTGCTAGTGATCTGGGCGGCACTGGATTCTTTCCTAAGTGGCCGCACAAGCGCAAATCTTACAGGGAACGCTGTTCCTAACCGTACCTGCTTGGTGAAGGGCTCAAACAGCGGCTGGAATTTGCCACAGTGTAAATATGAAACTGTACAACGCTTGGCGTGTTGGCATAGATGCGCTGGGCGCTGTATGAAGCACAAAGTCCCCTGCCCTCCCCCAGCTTGTGGTCTGTCGATCTGTCCTCGATCCCTGCTTATTCTTGTAGGTGAGGAAATTCCGAACCCTGACAGAGGTGATCATGGATGCAGAGGAGCATGTAAAGAATCCTTACAAAGGCAAAAAGCTCAAGGTAGGTAATAGACAGGAGCGGGGCCGACAAATGGGGACCATAGAATCATAGAGACCTAGAATTGGTAGGGACCATAGAATCATAGAGACCTAGAACTGGAAGGGACCATAGAATCATAGAGACCTAGCACTGGAAGGGATGGGTATGTCTATACTGCCACCCTAGTTCGAACTAGGGTGGCAGTATAGACATACCCATAGATACTCTAGAACTGGAAGGGACCATTCTGTCCAGGCTGGCAGGATCTCAGCCTTGGGCAGCGAAACTACCTTCACCATCATTTGGAGGAGGGGGAGTTGTCTTCTGTGCTGGAGTCCAGTAAAATGCATCACAAGTCACGTTTCCCAGATGCGATGTTCTCTGGCAGGGCAATAGACAAGTCGATGGATCTAGTGGGGCCATACCAGGGAATTCCATTCCATCTCAGCCGGGACAGCTTCGCTTCCTTATGACAGACTAGCTGGACTTACCCAGCGTTGCCCGGGAAACCGGAGGAACAAAATTTAGAAAAACAGAAGCTGGTCCTGACAGCCTCCAGCCACACCACAGCTGCCAGTGCCTGACATCTGGCCATTATGGCAGACCCCTATGCTTTTCTACTGCTGCATAAAGCAAACTCTCTGACTCAGAAAAGAGGCGTTGCAATGTTGAGAATCAGAGCTATTTGACTTGGCAAACTGAGATACAAAAGTCACAATAGAAACTAGGTCTCTGTTTCCTTCCCGTGTCGTGAGTCTTGGAGCCATGAAAAGCACAGTGGAAGGGAGAGCCCCCAAATCATATAGAGGCCCCTCTTCAGTAGTGCGATGCTTTGTTTCCTATCAGATGGTATTTTTGCTAATTATCTTTGTAGAAGCTAATGGTTTTTGGTAGGGACGTAGGGGAGAGGCATGCTGGGTCTGCAAATTCTCATCCAAGAGCTGAGTATAGGGATGCCTCAATCCATGGGGCTGGCCCTACTGAATCGGAGAGATTTCAAGGGGACACCGCAAACTCTTCTCCCATCTTTTTTGATGAAACTATGAGTCAACTAACTGAGCCTGCTGGCACCTCTGTAGTCCCTCCTCCAGCACCACCCCCTTGCCCGGCTGCCCCTCCCATGGACTGCATCTCTCCCCCCGCTCCCCCAGGATCATCCAGTATCAAACCCAGGACCAGTGCTGAGATTTGAGGGATCCCCCCTCCCCTCACCTTGGATTAATTTCTCATCCACCCAGCATCATCCAGTGCTGCCCCTTGGGCCAGTGCCCCTCAAAGGAGACCCCCTCCTCCCGCCATGGGCTTCATTTCTCACTCTCTCCCTGCAGGATTGTCCAGCCCCACTTCCTTCATCCCCCTACAATCCTGCCCCCCTCCCACTCGCCCCCAATGGTCCAGCCCCACCCCCCTACAATCCTGCTCTCCCCCCACTTGCCCCCAATGGTCCAGCCCCCGCACTTTTTTTCAAAGTGGCAGCTGAGCCGTAACACCAGTTCCACCACCTCCACCTAGAGCGAGCCCCAGCAGCAACCCGCCCACCCATTGGTCGGCCGCCAGGCCCCGAGCCAATCGCACTATTGAAGAGGGGCCCCCATATGCTTCCAGCAATGACAGGGAAGCCACTTCTCCCCGCACTGCCAAGCTCCGTGCAGCCCCGGGGGAGGCGTCGGTCTCTCCTCTCTTCCCTCCCACAGGACCTTAAAACCTTCTCCTGGAGGAAAGGTTCTCCCATGGAACACCCATTGGTCGGCCGCCAGGCCCCGAGCCAATCGCACTATTGAAGAGGGGCCCCCATATGCTTCCAGCAATGACAGGGAAGCCACTTCTCCCCGCACTGCCAAGCTCCGTGCAGCCCCGGGGGAGGCGTCGGTCTCTCCTCTCTTCCCTCCCACAGGACCTTAAAACCTTCTCCTGGAGGAAAGGTTCTCCCATGGAAAGTTTGGTTGCGGTTGCTCTTATAGTGTCCAAGTTATTAGAGCACAAAGATACAAACATTCTCCTTTCTGTATTAGAGTAGAAGATTTACCCTGTGTCGCTCGGATCCTTAACCCAAATAAGTTTTGTTTTTCTTCATTTGAATCATTGCTCTGGGGTGGGGCTGGGCACGAGGGGTTCAGGAGGCAGGTGGCCTGGGGAGAGAGAACTACCCCAACTGTGTCCCAGTGTAGCAGCTTGGGGCCAGGTGAAATACACCTGTACATGCAGCGGGCACAGTCGGGGGAAGGGTTCATGTCAGACCTCTGAAATACAGAGTAGAGAGCTTTCCCTTTCCCCTCCCCTTCCCGCTGCTGACCCAATGGGGATTATAATTAAACTAGCCAATTAGCCCGTCATAAGACGGGATTTTCAGGTCTCTCCTCCATGTCGGTCTTCCCTCCTGAGCCTCCGGTGTCTGTCTCTCTCTCTCTCTCTCCTTCCCCTACTGCCTCCCCGTCCCTCTCTCAGTTCTCCTCTGCCTTCTGCCTCTCCCTCCTTCTCCTTCCCCTACTGCCTCCCCGTCTCTCTCTCTCAGCTCTCCTCCGCCTTCTGCCTCTCCCTCTGTCTCTCTCTTTCTCTTCTCCCCCTCCTGCCTCTCACTCTCCCTTTCTCTTCTCCTCCTCCTCCTGCCTCTCACTCTCTCTCCGCTCCC